GCTCTCCACCTCGGCCTGGAGGAGTAGGAAGAAGAGGACTAGGAAGGGGGAGCGCCAGGGGTGCTTACCTGGCTATGGTGGACGCAATCTTCATCACCTTGGTGGGCCATGCATCTGGAAGCCCCCAGTTGGGGTAGAGCGGCATCAAGAAGCCTCAAGGCAGAGTCAGGCGTGGCGGCCTGGGTAGGAGCAGCCATAGCTGCTTTGTGTTGTCTTCTGCACATGAGGGCAAGGCCCTAGTAGTCCGCCATAGCCTCGGCCTTCATGAAGAGGAAGGAGAAGCGTGGCCATGGCTATGGTGGACCTCGTATTGTGCCTGCAGTTGAAGAGGGACTCGGACCTTGATTCTGGTTCGGCCATTCAACATTATTATTATTATTTATTGTTTGAATAAAGAGGGGAGGAGAAAAGGAGGAGGAGAGTGGGTGGCGAGAAGAAGGGAATTATCATTGGTCCTTGCTGCTGGACATCTTCTTCTTCTTCTTCTTTCCCTCTCTCTCCTCTCAAGTTCATTCATTTCTTTTTGCAATTGGACGACATTGTGCTTTCTCATGAATTTGTACTTCGAAATGGGCCAGGATTGTAACATTGGTATCAGTGCGGATTCTACTTGCCGGCGAGAATTGACTTTGTCGCTCCAACCCTAACCTACGTTGGAGGGCTACCACTTAGGGTTTTAGGGCTGGAAGTTGAGGGAAGTGGGGCATCGTGGTTAAGGGAAGTTAGGTCGTATTGGGTCAAGACTGGACCTGACCACGTTGATTGAGAGTAAGTTTGGGGTGGCGACTCTGATGAGACACTTCGAGAAGACTTCGTGCGATAATTTGGGAGAGGCAACAGTGAGAGGCACTCGCGTGTTGCCTCTCCCAAGTTATCGCACGAAGTCTTCTCGAAGTGTCTCTCAAGTTGGCGACTTTAGGGCCTCCCTCAAGTAGGCGAGCTTGAGGGAGGTAGCCATTTTGCATCTATGGACACAAGTTGCTATTTTGACCTTCAGTGATCTTCAGAATGGCCAGGGGATCCGACGTTGCACTTTGGTGTTGGAGTCCGACCCCCCTAGTAGATAGGACACTAGTGTAGGGGTAGCGTTAAAGGGGTCAGGAGGACCATATGAGAGGGGGGTGAGTTCTATTCATCTCGAAGCTCAGGCCACTCAGGTAAGTGTCATGCAACTACGGGATGCCCATGTGTGTATCAGCATGGTATTGATTGTCCTGCTATGGTTATTCAGCGTTTCTTTTCCTACTTCTCTGTGGTCTTGATTATGTGTACAAGTATGCAAACAGCTTCCTCACCTGATGGATGAAGAGATGAGGTATCTTGCTTTGGACGCCATATCTTTTTAAAGTGAACTGACTCTTTTTGTCTCTGAACGGATGTAGATGTAGGTTCTCTCTGAGTCAGAAAGTAGGGTCAAGCTCGCCAGATCAATCGGCTATGGAGACCAATGGCTTACTTAGTCCTTAAATTGAGGTATCTTCCTTTGGACGCCATATCTTTTTAAACCACCAGTACCTGGCCCAGCTATCGGCCGCGGCGCTTCCCGTATACGCGCCGCGCCATTTGGGCTTCGGCCTGCCGGACCGCATTGGCTGGAGGCCGCAGGCAAAACGAAAAAGACAATTGCGACGGCGGTTCGGCAGGACTTGGCGCGCAGTGTGCTGGGAGGCTCGGATTCAATAGCTGAGCGAGGTACTGGTGGTTTAAAGTGAACTGTCTTTTTGTCTCTGAACAGATGTAGATGAAGGTTCTCTCTGAGGCAGAAAGTAGTGTCAAGCTCGCCAGATCAATCGGCTATGGAGACCAATGGCTTACTTAGTCCTTAAATTGACACGTGTCGGCGCTCCGATACCAACCTCACGCCCTGCGCAATTTCTTGATTGGAGTGGGTAGTGAGTCTGGAAGTAGTGAGAAAGGGGGTGTGCCAAGGATCTTAGGAAGAAGGGGCGGAGTCGTAGGCCGAAACCGGAATCTCCAATATCAATGTTCTAAGGACGATGATGCAAGTGACCCAAATTTGTTTGACATCATTTCATTCTCTTTCTGCCCGGGATTCGAAGTTTTACTCTTTGGTTAGAGCACTCGCTGCCGAGGGGATCTCGACTGAGACGTTTTCCCTACTTTTACTGCACAGTCCGTGACTTGGCTTGCACCTTATACGCCACTCAATTCTCCATTGATGTATGTTGTTACTCGTTGTCTGAATTTGTTGTACGTTCAAGGAACTGATCAGATTGGGCTTGAGGGGATCTTGTACTCGGTCTGATCAGGCTGAGACGCTGGATCATAACTCTTATTTGAATTTATTATTTTTATTTTTTTTATTGGTTGCTCTCTAGTCCAAACGGCCTAGCTCAGTCGGTAAGGCACACAAGTGGCATTTAGGAGGTCTTGGGTTCAATCCCCATCATGTACCTTCCTGGGCAAGCTTCGCGCCCGCCCACCTAGAGATATGCCGTTGGTCCCCCCGAGTGGCATTGAGTAGAGACTGCTGATGTTCATAGGGGGAGGGGACCGGAGGGGAGGCACAATGACTGGCCCATCGAAGAAGCTCGGTCCTGATGCTACCGGCTGACCCCTGGCCGGTATCGCACCTGCTGGTGGGTGCAGCTCCCGCATCTTCCCTCGTTGGAGGCTTGAGCACGGATGTGGCTGCTACGGGGTTCCCCATAATACTATAATGACAATAAAAAAAGGCCTGAAAGGCCGTCCTGTCCAGATTTGATAGGTAATTGAATTGGTTGGGCTTAAAGAATTAGCCTTTAAAAAAAAAATAAAAAAAAATGTAATGCCACTACGACTAGGAGTTCTACCTTTTCTTTCTTCGAGCTTTTCAGTCTGTTTCTTTTTTTGAGTTTCTATTTCGCTGCCCTTGGAGACTCGTGGACAAAAAGAAGAGAGAGAGAGAAGGGAGAGGGATTTGAGTTTCTATTTTGCTGCCCGTGGAGACTCGTGGACAAAAAGAAGAGAGAGAGAGAAGGGAGAGGGAAAACACTTATCTTGAGGGACTTGCTGAGACCATTTCCGTAATGTCTGCCGAGGACCATAGAGGTTCTAACATGGCAGCGGTAAAGGCCTTTGTGGCCTTAAAAACCCAATTGGATGCTATCTTCAAAACAATCTCCTCCTTGCCCGACACTGAGGTCAAGAAAGATCTGGGCGTGTTCTTAAACACTGTCATTTGCTCAAAGAACTTTCTGGTCAGGTGCTATCTGACCAAGTGAGTAAACTTCAGACCCAGATTGCGGATATGGCCAAGGAGCATAGTAATAAAATGCGGCAGATGGCAAATCTGCAGCTGACCCAGACTCCAAATTTTGTTCCTTTACCTCCTGCCTACCCAATGCTACTAGTTGTTTGTCCTTGCTCCCTCCATATCTCTACTTCTTCTTCTCTGAGTGTGGTTCAATCGGGAGCTGCAATAGGTGCGGACCCCGTTGTTGCTGCGACCAATGACAACGCAGGGATTTCTGCAACTGTTGCAGCCTCAAGTTCAGACACAACATTTGCTGGTCCCGACTACAACAGTTCCTATATGGACAGGAAGGCGGTACAAATACCATCTAACTACGACGATAAGGAAGACGTAGAGTCATGGATCAGCTCCATGACAACCTTACTTCGAGGTGCTAGGAACTCAACTAATGAGCCAGTCCTTGATCATGGGGATAAACGTCAAACCCATCGTACGGGGCTTCTTAGAAGTCCAAGCTACGCAAGTCGGGTACACTAAGATCGATTTGATGCAGTGGCTCAAAGCCACACCTATGACCACACTTGAAGAGATCTTGATTAAGCAATACAATGACCCAAATGTTGTTGCGAGAATCAAGAAAAGGCTTGATGATCTCAAACGCAGCAAGTGGTCGGGCTTGTGACGTGCAACCTCACGCCCCTGTGCAGTCTTCCGTCGGAGTGCTAAGGGTGAGGAAAAGAGACCCAGAAAAACAGCAAGATGGGGTGTGCCAAGGATTTTTGGGAAACTGAGTGTGGGGACACAGACAGGACTGAAATCCCCCGTGACGGTCCGATGAAGTGAGTCGATTGCTTCTCGCGCGTTTGCAGAATGCGCGCGCGAATTCAGCGTGAAAGGAGAGAGGAATACAAAGTTAATCCAAAAAGTACTGTCGGACTTCCCACCATGCTACGACCCTTCGTTTGGAGCAAAAAGGCTTCGGCACGCTTCGCGTGTTTCGCTTGCGTATTAAGTCACGGCGTTGCTCGCTGGTCAACTCTGAGTCCGACGTGGAGGGTCTCAGTCGTGTGACTCTTTCTCTATGTTCGTCGGTGCTCCGTATGCGGTAGTGGAAACCCTTGGATTCGTAGCGCTCGAAACGCTGGCACTCGGTGCACAGAGGACGAGGCCAGTGGGGTTCCACTGGCGTCCACGGAATGGTGATCATTTCGTTAAAGGGCAACAATATCGAGTAAGGCGGAAAGTGAGTATCGATAATGACGAATCCAGCATCCACGAATCCTGAGCAACGATTTTCAGGAGGGAAGTAATATCGTCCGTCGATCCGTGCGACAACCTCTCGTACGTCCCACTCGCAGACACGTGTCCTTTCCTCGTCGTAAGGAAAAAGTCGCGTCGGCGCGGGAGATACGGGAGGCTGGCGCCCGATCGAAGGGCGTTCGTCAGTCCACATGTCAATGAATTGCAAAAATCTCGAGACGTCATCAAGGAAAAACACCCGCACAATCACCAATCAATTCTTTTCGACACAAGAGAGAGAGAGAAAGCCCACTTATCAGTTTGATCATTTACTTAACTGAGGGACCGACCCACGACTCAGGTTTAGTAAGCCAACGCGGCGTTGATCCGAGGCGCCTAGTTTTTCGAGGTTGTCCCGGAGATCAGTCACAGATGTCGTGCAGCATAACGCAGATGGCATTCGCAGTGCATTCAAAACCACAGATCTAAACATTCTTGCATTCTCAAACAAAATCCCGTCGAGTGCTGAGTCTAATCAACGCAAAAAGACAAGCAACCTCCATACATTCAATCACTGTGGAAGGTGCAAAAATGACAAGGATACACAGGTCAGAAATCAACGGAGGGATTTGTATACACGTGTCCACCGTTCACAAGACAAGGGGATCAAAACCCTCGACACATGAGGATTACCCAAGAAACTAATGGAAGAGTTCCGGAAGAAGTTCTTCCTTGCGAGGACTCTCGCGAGTTCGCCTCTATCCACAAGAGGGACAAACCATCAATGCATTATCATTCAGGTCAAAGAGAGAGAGAGAGAGAGAGAGAGAGAGAGAGAGAGAGAGAGAGAGAGAGAGAGAGAGAGAGAGAGAGAGAGAGAGAGAGAGAGGGGTGGGAGGAATAGACAAGGACAGCTGAGACAGAAGACACCAGAATTCGACACGAGAGCATTCGGCTTCACATTCACGAACTCACACGCAAAAAAATGATCCGCAATGAAGGCGCATTCGCCGTAGAATTCCAATATGGCCCCGGGCCAGTCATCAGCTCAACTCCAATCACACATCCTCCTACCCACACCGACGATCCTGGCCGTCGCGTGCTAACTTCCACCATTGTGATCGTCACCCCGCTGACGTAGGCTCGACTCGGCTCGCCTGGAACCCACAGTCCATCGTGGCAATCAAGCGCGCAACCCGCCAGACTACAGTCAGCTCGACAGGACTTTTCGACTCGCACCAAACACACCACCTAGCCACTGCTTCCCAGAAGCTGGCTTGCGAGTGGAAAACGTAAGAGAGCTTTGCGGACGCGCTTGCGGAATTTATAGTCGCGAGGAGGAGGATGAGGGAGGGAGGAGGCAGGGGGAAGGTCGAGGTGTAAGAGAAAAAGCAGGAGGAGGAGACTTAGCGGGGAGCGCGCTGCGGAAGCCATGTTGATCCTTCAGAACCCAATGGTCAGCCAATCAGATTCGTCGCGCAATAGGAAGATTCTCTTGTTCAACGCGTCTGATTGGTGAGCAGGGGTGATCGGAGGATCAACCGGGCTTCGTGAGTCAAGGTTGATGACCGGGAAGAGACGAAGCGCGAAAAGCAGCGCACAACGGGTCCAAGATTCAGATGATCAAGAAAGGGAAGCAGGCGCGAAAAAAGCAGAGAGGGAGAAACAGTTGCGATGGGAGAAGGAGATGAGGGGGAAAGGAGAGGGGAGAGTGCAGGGGAAGGATGGCGCGGGAAATAAGGAGGAGGATGTTCGCATACGTGGTGCCGACAACAAAAAAAAGGCACGGAAACAGTTACAGCTTGCCTATATTCTACACCAGTTCAAAAATTGAAATCACCATATCCGCGCGCGAAAGTCAAGGCGGGAAAATCCGTATTCTCGCAAAATTCCTAGAGTTTTCTCCGACGTGACCAAGAACATTCATGCAAGGAAAAAGATACGTCGGGCTCCGCTTATTCTGTAATTCCTAACTGTCGAGCCCGATTCCCAGTGCGCTAGCTAAGGCGCGCGTAATTTCCCGTGCGTTTCCCGAATTTCAAGAAGCAGAATTCAATAGAACTTTCGACAAAATGAGGGCCCAAACAAGGTGCCCGAAATCAAGAAAAACGACGAGGGTTTTGTGGGGTCGGTATAATACAGAGGGGGGGGGAAGGGGTTTCAAATCAAGGGGTACGAAAGATAGCACGGGATCGGGAAACGGTTCATCACATATGTGATGCGCAGGGGGTTCCAAAATTATGCGATCTCCTGATTGCATGAAAGTCCGAACAAAGGGGATAGGGGGAGACGAAGAAGCAGGAAGAAGTACAAGGAACGAGGGGGAAGGGAGGAGACGAAGAAGCAGGAAGACGTAGGAGCTCAGATCATCACGACTAGCTGGCGACAACATCCATGGCAAGATCTCCGTGAAGCATACTGGCTCGTGCCGTTTCGGATCTCGTTCCCTGCGGTCCTGTCATATGCAACCCCCTGTCCTTCGAACTTCGGAGATCGTCCAGGTGGCACCATCATGGTCCATCAGATCTCCGTGTGCTCTACACCCGCAGTCCAGCGCAGTCTCTCGAATCAGAGCGTAAGCTGACGTCATCGTCAATGGCATGATCTTCGCGACAACTGCTGATTCGTAGCACTTGGAGGACACGTGGCGGGTGTCAACGCCGTGTGGGAATGGGAAAGTAGACGTTATACATGGGGGGGTGTCGACGGGGAGGGTTGGGGGGGGAGTGGGGGCAAGTATCGGTTCATCCCTTCTTCCGTGATCGGGGGCTCTTCGTAGCGAATGATCCGGTGAAAGTGGGGAAACCGATCACCGCTGTGAGGGAGGGAGGCGAGGTAGTCAGGGTAGAGGGTGGAGAAGGTGTGGAAGAGTGCCGCGCGAAACTGCTCGTGATGACGACACGCGGGGATGGTCCCGGTGATTACGCAGTAGACTTCTACTGCGTTACTCTGTTGCCACGCGGCACTGAGCCACGTCACTACGGTCGCTGCCTTCAGTGGCGACATCAGCACGATCAGCCCACTACGGCATACAGCGATCTTAACCTCCTTGCAAGAGTGGGCGCAGCAGTTGTCAACTGATTGGCATCACAATCTCGCGCGTCCGGGGTACAATCTCTTCCCGACATCCGGGACGGACTTCGACGTCCGCACTTCTCCACGCCAGCCGGCCATCGCACTCCCCGTCCTCATCCCCTTCCAACGCCCCCAATGAACCGTGTTGCTCCCCTCGCTCCTCTCTCCACCTTTGGTCTCCCCTCCTTTTTCCCCACCTTCTGGCAATCCGATCTCCATCCTCGCCTTTCTTTCGTACTCGAGCCTCTCGCCGTTCCGCTCCTCGAGCCTGGGCATTGGCAGGTGTGGCGCGAGATCTTTGTCAATTTGTCTGTGTGCTTGGTCCGAGTGCAGGTGACGTGGACGCGGACCGACGAATACCCACCGTGTATCGAGTACCTAGAGCTGCTGATCGTCCAGGCTTGGAAAACGGACGTGGAAGGCGATCTCCTCGGCTTCCTTTTCGGATCAGTACAGCCAGGCCATCACCAGCCTATCATTCAAGAACCCATCATCCCGCTCGTGCAATTGGCTGACGATCTCCCCCTCGACATCGTTTCGCAAAGCGACGACAGTCCCGCTCCGCACGTCGTCACACGAGCCTTAGCGCCGTATCTTCAGTGGACTGCTTGCTTGGAGGAACCCGGGAGTGACAGCACCTTGCCATCACGTCATGAGTACTTGAAGTCGTATGGAATCATTGATCGGGCCTTCTATCCGAAGGAGCCTAAGGAGGTGCTTCAAGAAGAAGAAGAAGCCACCGAAGAAGAGGGCGACGCCGACGAGGAAACGTCGGAGGAGGGAAGTTACAGTGAGTACAGCGAAGGGGAGCAGAGTGAAGGGACAGAGGAGGTAGAAGAAGAAGAAGAAGAAGACGAAGAGGAGGAAGCCAAATCGGAGTGGGAGGATCTGCCGAAAGAAGCGGCGCGCATAGGCATGAAAGTGGAAGATCCCGAAGCGGCACGAAGAAGGGAAGAGATCGCCGTCGGGAAAAACCAGTTCGAGACCGCCAGCGGGGCAAGCTTGTGCATCAACGACGACCCGACCAGGGATCCAGAGCCCCCCGAACCCGAGGATGGCGAATCAGCAACCGCGGCTATGAGCGCATCGTGACGGAGACGGAGCCGAGCCCCCTCCCCCTCCTCCCCAACCCGTCCCCCAGTTCGTCCACGTACCGATGCAGGGAATCGGTCTTCGTCCCCGGTCGTTATCCCGCCGTCCCCTTGATTATCTCACCCTTTGCCAGATCTCTACCCCCCTCACCTTCCCTCGCAACCCCTTTCCTCCCAATAATTTCGAGCACTTTTACTCCACCCGTCTCGCCGTCACCATCCATCCCAGCTCCTCCCTTCAAGCCGCGAACCCCACGTGGAGACGCTTGTCGATGAAGAGCCACCACCTCTGCCAATACCACCACTTGTTGACTTCCGACGAATCGGAATGCAGCAGCAGCACACACTCCCTCGGTGCAGAAAAACTACGCTACCCGTCGTAGATCAGGACTGAGCCGCGGATGACAAACTTGCCGGATCTCGGAGATGTAGCCACGGGGCTGCAGCAGATGATCACCAAGGGCTCGCTCCGTGATGAAACTCATGGCGAGGACGGGGAAGAAGATGAAAGAGGAGAGCAGGAGGGAGAGAGCGAGGCGGGAACTAGATCGTCTTCGTCCTCTTCTTCAGCGGACGCGGGAGATGGAGGGATGTCAGAGGGAGGGAGGAGACGGATGTAAGAGCTATGGCGGACGATGGGGACAGAGCTATGGCTGGCGCTTGCCTCGGGCACGATGCACACCGTGTTGGCACCGTTGGGACCGAGTTTGACGACGCGGAAACAACCAGAAAACTTAGGAGCGAGTTTACGTTCGCGTGCGCATTTGCGTACTTGCACCAGGTCCCCTAACTTATATTGGTGCTGTGGGCCCTCATTTCCATTTCGAGCCTCGTAGCTACGGACTTGTCTACCGTGGGCCAGTTCGGTCATTTTCTGTCTCTTCCGGGCCAATTTGGGTATGGCCCTCTCCATTAAATCGGCATACCTTTTGGCCTTGGCCTTAAGGGCGGCACGCGTGTCTCTACCCCTTGCTTCGGCAATTTTCGAGTTGCCCCGGTAATCGACACATGGGAGGCTATTAGTTCGAAGTTGAAAGGGGGTGAAACCCGTGGATTCATGGGGGGTGGCCCGGTGAATTCCGATGATTTGATATACGATCTCGGGCCAGGGACGCGTGTCACGCGTCGCTAGATTTCTTCGGAGGGCAGTCTCAATCATGCGATTGGCATTTTCGGCCAACCCGTTGGACTGGGAAACGTGGGGTGCCGTATGTCGAAGCGTAATGCCTCTTCGTGCGAGTAATTCCTTTACCTCACCTTTGAACTCGGACCTATTGTCGGTTAGAATTTCCTCCGTATCTAGGTGAGTATAGAGAAACCGATCGATGTATGTGGCTATTTTTGCGGCCCTTCGGGTTCTACACGGGTAGACTTCGATATACTTCGAGAAACGATCGATCAATACCAAGAGGATGGAGTATTCGCAACAGTTGGGGCCAGGTGGCACGTCTATGTCAGTCGTATCCATACTGACCCGCTGGAAGGGCCGTTCTACCTCCGTTGGAACTATCGTATTCGGCCCTCGGAGGGGCGCGCGATCGGCAGCACAGACTAGACAGTTAGCGACCACGTGCTTCACATCATCGCGGATATTAGACCAGAACCATCGATTTTGATCGATAGTTGCCTTTGTGACATGTATCGCAGAATGAGCGGCCTGTTCCTCGTGCGCGGACCTAGTCCAGTCATATCTCTGAAAAGGATGGGGAACCGTCAACCATAGTCCCGATCCATCAGTTTTACGCTTTTCTAGGTGACCGTTGATCCATCGGTAATCCCGAGATCTCTCGGTAGCCCGGCGTCTGTCGTGCTTAGTGAGATCATCCAAGGGTAACCCAGCCAGCTTAGCCAATAGGATTTTATCCGTCCAGACCTCCGCTCGTCGGTATTTCTCGTTGTATTCATGGCCGTCCGTACGGGCAGCCTCGAATCGAACCTCAATAGGTAGTTTGTCCGTCCTACACAGAGGGCATTTCCATTCCCTACTACTTGTTCGATATCGAACACATGCACCGTGTGCACGATTGACACATGTGGCACAGTTTACCCACTCCACGAATCCGGTCTCAAAAGGATGACAGTTCACCCCATATATCCGTGTAATACACGTGCAAAAATAGCAGAATCTGTCGGGAAGGGTGGCAAAGAAGGCCGAGCTGGCGAGAGGGCCGGACTCAGCAGGGGAAGAAGGGGTCGCTGAGACAGGTGGGGCAGCCATTATGAGAGAAGGGGGAGAGAGAGTGATCAGGGCTGCAGAGAGGTCGGAGCGAGGCTACGTGTCACTCACTCCTTTGACAGAATTTCCACCTGTCCGTATCGCGGTCTGCTTTCCTCCTCCGGCTCGTTCCACGGAATCACTTCTTCGCTCTTGAGGACCATCTCGGGTCGGTGCAGTCCTGTCAGCCCGTCAGCATTCCCGTGCCTCTCGTGCTTCCGGTGACGGATGTCAAAGTCCATGCTCTGCAGAATAGTGGCCCATCGTCCGATCATTCCCGAGTAATCCGTGGATTTCTTCAGCACCAACAACGGTTCGTGATCGGTTACCAAGGTAAACTTTCGCCCGTACAGATATGCTCGGAAGTGGCTGATCCCCCATAAGGCTGCGTAGCATTCTCCCGTCGGGGCAGCGTAGTTGCGCTTGCAGGTCGGCACCGTCTTAGATGCGTATTCTACCACGTGTTCGAGACCGTCGGGTCCCACCTGAGCCAAGATTGCGGAAACCGCCTCCGACTGCCAATCGGTTATGAGAACAAAGGGTTTCCCTGGGTCTGGCCTTATGAGAACTGGGGCCGAAATCAGGGCCGCCTTGAGTTCTCCGAAAGCCCGATTGCACTGCGGGGTCCACATCAACGGTTGATCCTTTTTCAGTAGATTCGTGAGTGGTCCCGCGATCGCTGCAAATCCCTTGACGAACCTTCGATAGTACGATGCCAAACCCAAAAAGGCGCGGACCTGCGTTATGGAAGTTGGTACGGGTGCGTCTTTCACTGCTGTCACCTTCTGGGGATCTGGTTGCAACCCTTGACTCGTGACGACGTGGCCGAGGAAGGAGATTTCCGTGAGGAAAAATTGGCATTTTTCAACCGCCACCTTGAAGCCGGCGTCCTTGAGTGTGTGTACCGCCCATTCAATGTGCTGCACGTGTCCCTCATAGGAAGTAGAGAACACAAGGATATCATCCATATACACAATCATACAATAGTTGATTATGCTTTGCGCCAGCCGCGTTTTTCGCCCGAAATTCTGGAAGGCCATATTCATCGCGCGCTGAAACGTGGCTGGGGCATTGCAAATCCCCATCGGACATCTGACCCATTGCCAACTTCCTTCGAAAAGAATGAACGCCGTTTTCGGGTGATCTTCTTTTCGAACTAGCAGATGGTGGAATCCATGTCGAATATCAAATTTGCTAAAGAATCGAGCGCTACCAATAGCATCCAACAATTCATCAATCCGGGGAAGAGGATACACATCTTTAATTGTGATATCGTTCTGTTTTCGATAATCAATACAGACACGAATTCCTCCTGGTTTCTTTGGCACAATCACTACTGGGAACGACCATGGTCCGATAGCGGGCTCAATCCAACCATTAGCTTCGAATTCCTTGATTCTTTTGAACACGGCGACTCTCTGCCCCGGTGAGTATCGATACGAAGCGCAACTAATGGGTGGATGATCCCCCGTAAGGATCGCGTGCTCAATTACAGTAGATAGCCCGATATCGCTGTCATCCACACTCAATACGTCAGCATAGTCATGCAATACGTTAATCAGGGATTCTCGGACATCCTTAGGGACATGATTGGGAATGGCGATTATCGTATTATTTTTCGAGCTCAGAGGCGTGTCAATCCACTCCAATCTTTGTCATTTCCTTCATGAGATCCGGAACGTCGGTGATCGGGGCCTCTGCCTTTTCTTTGATCAATGCGATCACGGCTCCTTGCGTGAGTAGTGCTCGGTGAGGGGAGACAGAGAGATCCAAGTATTCGTTCATCTGCTGATACCTCGCTCGGAGGGACAGTGTGCCCTCGTATAATGTGCGAGGGGGTTCCAAAAGATCGACCATGTCTGAGATTTGCAAGATCGGTTCTCCCAAGAAGGTCGTAGGGAGAGTCTGATTCTCCGTAGGTAAGGGACGACTAGAGTCGCTGTTACCCGAACTTAGATCGAACGTCCGAGTGGTTGTAGGAATCACCTGAAATTCCTCTTTCGCCTCCCAATCGAACATTTCGACTAACTGCTTCCACTCTTCGTGGTTGGGCATCGCGCTCAGCTCTTCCTCATACTCGTGCTCATCGAACTCGTCTTCCCGTACAAGGTAATCCGAGTTCGAGGGGGAATTCTCAATATTCCGGATCATTCCTATCCGATCAACATCGGGATATCTCCGCGGGGATCATGTGGAGATTCAGAGAGGGAGCGTCTGGGGTTTCCCTCCCGTATGAGTGAGGACGAGTTGTCTTGAATCGAAATGGACTCGAGCGCCTACTGCCATCGCCCAGGGTAATCCCAACAATATTGAATAAGAATGTACGTCAATGACCAACGCATTAACCAACACATGCACTCGACCTACCGCGACATTCTCGATGATTCCTATGATATTCATGGCTTCTTCGTCGGCCGAGACGTAGTTATCCCTCCCGGGTAGAGGAAGGATAGAGTTCAATCGTCCAGTTTTTCGGACTGTGTTCTAGGAGATGGCGACTGCCGATGATCCGGTGTCAATTAGTGCATCAAAAGGTTTGCCCCAGACTTCACAATCGCATTCAGCGCTTTTCCATAGGACCGATCGCACTCGTACAAAGTGGTCTTTTTCAACATAGGAGATAGTTGCGATTTGGGCTGGTTCATGTGCGTTCGTGGTGACTACTGGGGGCGGATTAGCTTCGTTTTCGTCATCCTGCTTTTTTTTCAGCATACGCTGAACGCGTTGATAGGTGAAGCGCTTCTGGTTCTTTTGACACTATTGCAGAAGCTTGTCATTCGCGGCCTCGGATATAGTCAGCAGATGTCCTACAAGGATTGGCGCTCGAATATCTAACTGTTTGAGTGTCTGTAGGAGATCGATTTCTCCTGTTTGAAACTGAGGTCCTGGTTCCGATGTTCCTTCGACCCAATCGAGTTCGTCTTTGGCGGGTCGAATTGCTCCGATCAGTCCGGCCAGCTGGAGGTACTCGGTGGGATTGACGACATCCGCAGCTTCAGAGGATCCTGACGTGGATGCGCCTTGATCACCCGAGAGAGGCTGATCAACGATGAATGGGGAAGCCTCCCTTACCTGTTCTAATACTGCGGCCACTCGTCCCTGGTTCAAAGCCACGGGCGCGGCCGCTGGAGGCGGCTGGTTGCGTTTCGGCTGTGGACATTCTCGAGCGAAATGCCCTGGCTGCTTGCAATTATAGCATTCGATTCTTCCTGCTCGATTCTCCACCTGAAGAGGAGTGGCGGAATGAACTGGTCCACCCGCGGGGGGAGCCGTAAGCAACGGGTACTGAGCAGGAACGGGGCGAAAGGGGCCAGAATTGGCCTTTACTAATTTGGTCATGATCTGTTTTAGTCGGTCCATTTGGGAGGCCTGCATTTGTAACACGTTATTCATCCATTCGGATTGTTTAGTCGTAGCAGTGTGGATCATCTGGGCTAAATGCAGGTTGGTGATGGGGATCGAGACGGTTTCTTGGGTCATGACCGTGTTTACGGGTGCGATCTTCGGAGGCGGAGGCAGTTTTGAGAGGAGTAGGGGATAAGACGAGGAAGGCTCCGGGATAGGGCCGTCTTGATAATCATGATCGGGTCGGGGGTAGAATCGTTCTACCGCTCAGAGCCAGGATCGCTTCTTGGCCGCCACATCCTGGATTGTGTCCTAGATATCTTCTTCTCCCTGTCGGATATATTTACGTGTATCCAACAGATCCAATTCGAGTGCTTTGGCTATGATGACTGACAACTGGTTGGTCTTGGGAGGGGCCTTTTTCTGCAGTTTCGCTTTCAACTCGGGATTACGAAGGTGATCGATGAACAAATCTCGAGCCTCGTTCTCTTCCCGCCCCGACTTGTCTAAGGTGGTCTGAAATCGATCTACAAAATCAGGTAGTAATTCCCCACGTTCTTGTGGACGAGTTTTTAGTACAAACCAAGCAGCATCTTCACTGACCACGTCAAACCGTGCCAAAAACGCTCTTTTGAAGGTATCCCAATCTACCCACCCGTGTCTTCTAAACCAATCATGCGCAGTGTTTCGAAGCAGCAGGGTGATGACGAGAGGAAGGTCCTCTGCGCCATAGCCTTGCGCTTGCACGGCTTCAAGCCATGCCTCTTGGTGAGTGTAGTTAGGATAGAAGGGAAAAGTGGCGGGGATGCTTACCATCACCCACGGAGGCGCTCCATTGGCTTCGGCCATAGGCATTTCTGGTCGGGCCTCGGCAGATCTTTGCCTAGTAACTGGCGGACTGAGTCGGGTAGGTTGTTTAGCGGCTCTTCCTCTCGCCAGCTCGTCTCACTATTGTCAGAATCGACACGTGTCGGCTCCGATACCAACCTCACGCCCCTGTGCTGTCTTCCGTCGGAGTGCTAAAGGTGTGGAAAAGATGCCCAGAAAAACAGCAAGATGGGGTGTGCCAAGGATTTTTGGGAAATTGAGTGTGGGGACACAGACGAGGCTGAAATCCCCCGTGACGGTCCGATGAAGTGAGTTGATTGCTTCTCGCGCGTTTGCAGAATGCGCGCGCGAATTCGGCGCGAAAGGAGAGAGGAATACAAAGTTAATCCAAAAAGTACTGTCGGACTTCCCACCGTGCTACGACCCTTCGTTTGGAGCAAAAAGGCTTCGGCACGCTTCGCGTGTCTCGCTTGCGTATTAAGTCACGACGTCGCTTGCTGGTCAGCTCCGAGTCCGACGTGGAGGGTCTCATTCGTGTGGCTCTTTCTCTATGTTCGTCGGTGCTCCGTATGCGGTAGTGGAAACCCTTGGATTCGTAGCGCTCGAAACGCTGTCACTCGGTGCACAGAGTACGAGGCCAGTGGGGTTCCACTGCCATCCACGGAATGACGATCGGCTCGTTTAAGGGCTACAACATCGAGTAAGGCGGAAAGTGAGTATCGATAATGACGAATCCAACATCCACGAATCCTGAGCAACGATTTTCAGGAGGGAAGTAATATCGTCCGCCGATCCGTGCGACAACTTCTCGTACGTCCCACTCGCATACACGTGTCCTTTCCTCGTCATAAGGAAAAGGTCGCGTCGGCGCGGGAGATACGGGAGGTTGGCGCCCGATCGAAGGGCGATTGTCAGTCCACATGTCAATCAATTGCAAAAATCTCAAGACGTCATCAAGGAAAAACACCCGCACACTCACCAATCAATTCTTTTCGACACAAGAGAGAGAGAGAGAAAACCCACTTATCTGTTTGATCATGTACTTAACCGAGGGACCGACCCACGACTCAGGTTTAGTAAGCCAACGCGGCGTTGATCCGAGGCGCATAGTTTTTCGAGGCTGCCCCGGAGATCGGTCGCAGATGTCGTGCAGCATAAGGCAGATGGCATGTGTAATGCATTTAAAACCACATATCTAAACATTCTTGCATTCTCGAACAAAATCCCATCGAGCGCTGAGTCTAATCAACGCAAAAAGACAAGCAACCTCCATACATTCATTCACTGTGGAAGGTGCGAAAATGACAAGGATACACAGGTCAGAAATCAACGGAGGGATTTGTATACACGCGTCCACCGTTCACAAGACAAGGGGATCAAAACCCACGACATCTGAGGATTACCCAAGAAACTAATGGAAGAGTTCCGGAAGAAGTTCTTCCTTGCGAGGACTCTCGCGAGTTCGCCTCTATCCACAAGAGGGACAAACCATCAATGCATCATCATTCAGGTCAGAGAGAGAGAGAGAGAGGGGTGGGAGGAATAGACAAGGAAAGCTGAGACAGAAGACACCAGAATTCGACACGAGAGCATTCGGCTTCACATTCATGAACTCACACGCAAAAAAATGATCCGCAATGAAGGCGCATTCGCCGTAGAATCCCAATATGGCCCCGGGCCAGTCATCCACTCAACTCCAATCACACATCCTCCTACCCGCACCGACGATCCTGACCGTCGCGTGCTAACTTCCACCACTGCGATCGTCACCCCGCTGACGTAGGCTCGACTCGGCTCGCCTGGATCCCACAGTCCGTCGTGGCGATCAAGCGCGCAACCGGCCAGACTACAGTCAACCCGACAGGACTTTTCGATTCACACCAAACACACCACCTAGCCACTGCTTCCCGGAAGCTGGTTTGCGAGTGGAAAACGTAAGAGAGCTTTGCGAACACGCTTGCTGAATTTATAGTTGCGAGGAGGAGGATAAGGGAGGGAGGAGGCGGGGGGAAGGTCGAGGTGTAAGAGAAAAAGCAGGAGGAGGAGACTTAGCGGGGAGAGCGCTGCAGAAGCCATGTTGATCCTTCAGAACCCAATGGTCGGCCAATCAGATCCGTCGCGCAATAGGAAGATTCTCTTGTTCAACGCGTCTGATTGGTGAGCAGGGATGATCGGAGGATCAACTGGGCTTCGTGAGTCAAGGTTGATGAGCGGGAAGAGACGAAGCGCAAAAAGCAGCGCAAGACGGGTCCAAGATTCAGATGGTCAAGAAAGGGAAGCAGGCGCGAAAAAAGCAGAGAGGGAGAAACAGTTGCGATGGGAGAAGGAGAAGAGGGGGAAAGGAGAGGGGAGAGTGCAGGGGAAGGATGGCGCATGAAATAAGGAGGATGCTCACATACGCGGTGCCGACAGCAAAAAAAGGCACGGAAACAGTTACAGCTTGCCTATATTCTACACTAGTTCAAAAATTGAAATCACCATATCCGCGCGCGAAAGTCGACGTGGGAAAAGAAAGTCCTATGCCCATCCGTATTCTCGCAAAATTCCTAGAGATTTCTCCGATGTGACCAAGAACATTCATGCAAGGAAAAAGATACGTCGGGCTCCGCTTATTCTGTAATTCCTAATTGTCGAGCCCGATTCCCAGTGCGCTCGCTAAGGTGCGCGTAATTTCCCGTGCGTTTCCCGAATTTCAAGAAGCAGAATTCAACAAAACTTTCGACAAAATGAGGGCCCAAACAAGGTGCCCGAAATCAAGAAAAACGACGAGGGTTTTGTGGGGTCGGTATAATACAGAGGGGGGGGGAAGGGGTTTCAAATCAAGGGGTACGAAAGATAGCACGGAATCGGGAAATGGTTCGTCACGGACTGTCACTGGGGATTTCAGTCCTTTCTGTGTCCCCACACTCAATTTCCCAAAAATCCTTGGCACACCCCATCTTGCTGTTTTTTTGGGCCTCTTTTCCGCACCCTTAGCACTCCGACGGAAGACAGCACAGGGGGGTGAGGTTGCGCGTCACAAGCCCGACCACTTGCTGCGTTTGAGATCATCAAGCCTTTTCCTGATTCTCGCAACAACATTTGGGTCATTGTAGTGCTTAATCAAGATCTCTTCAAGTGTGAGTCCTGGATCAGCTCCATGACAACCTTACTTCGAGGTGCTAGGAACTCAACTAATGAGCCAGTAC